TGAAATCTTTCTGTTATGAAGTATTAAAACGGAGTACCCCGGAACGTGTATAACATATGTAGACAACAAGACTTACAGTATGTAACAAACTGTCAGTGTACACCAGGGGTCTCAAAGCTGGGGGGCAGGAGGTCGGGGGGGTCACTTCAGTGTTTGATGTTGAAGAAAAAAAACGCAGATCATTTAGAGAAATAAGTATTTTTGTTTGAAATATATAAAATATATATATTTCAACACTGACATAGTAAAAATATTTAACTAACATTTTAGTTACTAAAAATAACCATTCATTTATTTATTTTTTACATCTGATTATGGGCCAGATGTCAACTGAGGGTTCGCAGGCCGGAAGTGGCCCGTGGACTGAGCGTTTGAGGCCCCCTGGTGTACACTTAAAAATCAAGGACATCACTGTTCTGATATTTTTCCTCATATTTTTGTCTATTTTGTTTATGTATATAATAAATTTGAAGTTTTTAAATTTTTTCTTAAATGTTTAAAAATCATAATAAATACTGAAATTTCTTCTTTTTTTTTTACCACAGTCAAGTATCTTCACTGAGTCCAAACGTCCGACCGCAATCAGGCGAAGTGGACCGCCGCCTTCAGGTCCTCGTTCTCGGCCCTGTGGTCCAGCTGGTTCTGGAGGCGGATCACCTGCTCCAGCTCACGGATCTGCCGGTCCGTCTTGTGACTGACCAAGGTGCGGTAAAAGTGGATGGCGAAGACGATGAAAACGATCCCAAATGGCACCATGATGCAGGTGGAGGCGATGGCCGCCGCCTCGCCGGAACTGATTTTGCCGTTGTTTTCCTCCGACTTGCTCTTCAGGGGCAAGAACTTGACCCAGCACAGGAGCATGACCTCAGTCAGGAAGAGGAGCGTGCCGATGACAGTGGAGAAGGCCCATGCCAGCTCTATGTGGCGGTGCATGCGCTCGTGCGGGGACTCGTGGACGGAGTTGAGGTTGTGGACGTTGCTGACGGCCTCCAGGTTGGGCAGGATGCAGGTGCTGATCATGAGCGCAAACAGGTGCACCGCAACCAGGACCGTGGTGCAGGCACTGAAGGCTATCAGGAGACCTGGGGGGTACTCATGGTCCGCTTCCAGCTGCACCTCCACCATGGCCACCTGGTGGCAAAAACAAAGGATAACATGAGAAATGTATCACTTTTAAAACAACTCATTCCTAGGAAATTCGAAACGACTAAAATGTGTTTATTCACTCAGAAACTCCAGACCAAAACTGACTGAAAAAAAATTACATTTTTAAAAAAATGTGAATACATTTAGAATTCAAGGCTGAAAACGTAGAAACGTTGCGAAAGTACGACAAAAGTTAAAAACGGCTTTACAGGTATTTTGGAGGCTAACCGTTAGCAAGTTTAACCGGGTGGCTGCTGCTGCTGCTCCGGAATTTAGTATAAAACAATGAATCTTCTTGTCGTAAATATAGCTAATGAGCTAGCTAGTTAGCCTACGAGACTCACAAAGTATTTTTTAATTATTATTATTAAAAGTAACTTTAAGGAGGAAGTTGTCTGCCACAAGTGACAACTTTCCGGAAGTTCAAACCACAGTGGTAAAATGGTTAATGACGAGGAAAAATACTTTTTATTTTAACTTTTGACTAGTTTTCAGTCCTTCGTCTCATGCACCTTGTCCTGCCCATCAACACAACAACAACAAAAAAAGTTGTCTCAATGTTGCTCACTCCATATTTAAAGAAAAATAACGGAAACCCTACAGTCGTGAGGGTTTTTTTCCGACTCTGAAAAAGTACTTTAGCTTCGTGTTGTGAAAAGTTTGGTAAACGGTTTTATTCGCCGCTCCACAGACTCGTTAAGCCCGGGGAAAAAGAAAAAAAACACAACAGTAATGTGCGTCACACACCGTGTCCGCGGCTCTGCTGTAAAAAAAACTTTTGTGGTTACTTTAGTAAGTTACGTGAAGCGGCGCAGCTATAACCAACCACTCACCGAGACTCACCATAGCGAAGCCGGACAGCAGAGCAGAAGTTCGGCTGGTGGCTTTCAGCTTGGCTCGGCTCAGGTAGAGCTTTCTCCAGGACAGCGCCTGCAGCGAGTGCTCGTTCAAACTCATTCCGTAAAAGTTGTTCCGTTGCACTTTTTTTTGGCCTTCGTTTGTTTAAAATCCTCCACAAAGTTGCAGCTCCGGTTCAGATTACACCGGGTGAGGAGGGCGAAGGTTCGGTGACGGTGCACAGAGAAGACGACGTTCTCAAAGGTTCTCATCCGACGACGGTTAGAACCTCAACGTCAAACTGTGTCAAAGTATGTCGGCAACAGCAGCAGCTGACTGTCTGTCTATCAGGAAACACAAGACGCAAACAGTCCAGTCCAGCACTCTCACCGGGGCGCCACCCTGTGTCTGTGACCGGAATTTCAGTTGACAATACGTGGTAAAAAAAAAAAAACAAAAAAAACCCCAACACGTTCATTTGCAAATCCTTTTGTCTAAACATATAAATATATTTTATATAAATATATATGTATCCCTATACATTGTATGTGTAATATATACTCCGTAATTCACACAGGTATGTTTTGTAACAATGTTAGCGGTTAAAGCAACAACTCAAATTCTTTTTAAGACAGACCAGTTTTATCGTTACATCTGTGTCACGTGTTTCCTTTTGATTTGATCAGGTTTTAATTAACCCTGAAAAGAAATTAGGTTAAAAAAACATTTTGAACGGAAACCTGTTAAAATTATTAAAGCTGTGCAAAAATATATTTTCACGAATATATAATATATTTTTGTTGTAGTGCATTGTAGTAGTATTATTTACATGCTTTTTATATATTATATAATATATAACGATATATACGATATTTAATATAATATTTTTTTTATCCATCCATCCATCCATCTTCAACCGCTTATCCGGGGCCGGGTCGCGGGGGCAACAGTCTGAGCAGGGACACCCAGACTTCCCTCTCCCTCGACACTTCCTCTAGCTCTTCTGGGGGGACCCCAAGGCGTTCCCAGGCCAGCCGAGCGACGTAGTCGCTCCAGCGTGTCCTAGGTCTTCCCCTGGGTCTCTTCCCAGAGGGACGGCACCCGAGCACCTCCCGAGGGAGGCGTCCGGGGGGCATGCGATGTAAATGCCCAAGCCACCTCAGCTGACTCCTCTCGATGTGGAGGAGCAGCGGCTCTACTTCGAGCTCCTCCCGCGTGACAGAGCTCCTCACCCTATCTCTAAGGGAGCGCTCTGCCACCCTGCGGAGAAAGCTCATTTCAGCCGCTTGAATCCTTGATCTCGTTCTTTCGGTCATGACCCACAACTCATGACCATAGGTGAGGGTAGGAACGTAGATTGACCGGTAAATTGAGAGCTTCGCTTTTCGGCTCAGCTCCTTCTTCACCACAACGGACCGATACAGCGACCGCATTACTGCGGCCGCAGCACCGATCCGCCTGTCAATCTCACGCTCGATTCTACCGTCACTCGTGAACAAGACCCCCAGATATTTGAACTCCTCCACCTGAGGCAGGACTTCATCCCCGACCCGAAGGGTGCATACCACCTTTTTCCGGTCGAGAACCATGGCCTCGGACTTAGAGGTGCTAATTTTCATCCCAGCTGCGTTACACTCTACTGCAAACCGCCCCAGTGCATGCTGCAGGTCCTGGTTCGAAGAAGCCAACAACACCACATCATCTGCAAAAAGCAGAGATGAAATCCGGTGGCTACCGAACTGGACCCCACCCGACACCTGGCTGCGCCTAGAAATTCTGTCCATGAAAATAATGAACAGAACCGGTGACAAAGG